AGAATCGGAATGCAAACTTTGATTTCCCCACTGATTTCACTCCAGTTACTGGGACGATTGTAATCTGATTATAATGCCTGGATCTAGATCCTATTGTTCCAATAAAGGGCGTTCAGGAAATTGATTTGGTATGCTAAATGGCAGACTTTAACAGCATATGAATTACGTGGTAAATTGTGCTAGATGTAGATATTTTATACTTGATGCAAAAAATGTTATATATGTAGTACTTAATTCATCAAATCCCAAGGAAACGCCAGCGTTTGCGCATCTATTGTGTCTCAAATTACCACGATTGAAAGGGTAATAATAACTTATTAGTATTTACTGGATTTCAATAAAGAAGAAATTTCATCGAATATTCTTTAAAGTATTCAGCGGATATTAACGTTCTGTTTGTAGTCGGGATTTGTAAATTATTATTTTCAATACAGTGTTTTAGATGTTGGCTCATATGTATAAGCGTTTAAACTTGTCTTTTGGATGTGCTTGTAATAAAAAGTGATTTTATTTTTAAATATATTTTCGATCAAGTATGCAGTTGTGACTGGTATTACCTACAATGTAGGTACAAGTAAGTATAATAATATGTAGGTTGTTAAAACTTCTTTGTACATTTATCATTCAAAGAATAGCCAGCATTTGATTAATAAAGAAAATATTTAAATACTCAAATAGTCAAAGAAAAGGTGACGTCACAGAGTCATAGAATTTCATAAACATTTTTAAACTGATTGGTATTAAGTTTACTTTATTTTACAATGGTTAGGTATAGACCTACTTGTAGAACAGAAATTTTTTACACGACTCCTACCATTGAATGAATACCAAGAAAATCAAAAACAGTATGTATTTAGGATAATAGAACATTAGCCAAGCTACTTAGGGATCATTTCTGTTAACTTAAGTGAAATACATCATACATCTTATGTTGAAACAAGCACCGATGTTCCTCGAAACAGGCAAATCTCTAGGCACTTGGGGGCGTGGCTTTAAGTGGGCGTGGCGAGGAGGCGGTCCCTCTGAGGCCTCCCAAAGCACTCAGGCCCGAGAGACGAGCACCAACTTGTTTGTGCCTTGTTGTTGAACTTAGATATTAGTCATTTTATGTATACCTAACAAGCATACTTTTGCTTGCTGAAATGTATAGCCGTAGGTACTTGTTTGGGCTCGCATGATTATACGAATCACGATTATATTACCAACTTGTTAGGTGTATTTTGCCATGTTTATTTAGCTTTAAATAAATGTTACTGTTTTAAAATGTCTCTAAGAATGTACTTACCTATCTATGTATGCCATGAATCGATTTGACAAAGCCATAGTAATGCTTAAAGCCATAACATTTGACCAAATTAAACATTAATTCAGATTCAATTTAGGTAGTCTGGCGAAAACGATTACCGTTTAGGATAATCTTTATTTTTTAATGAGTAGAAATTTCAATTGTAATTTTGTAACACCATTGTTACTTATGTACGAACAAGAAAAACCCTACTGATAAAAATATTTGTAGTTAAATTTGTAGGTCGAAATGAGTAGGTCTGATACCGGATAAAAATAGATTTTGCTTAACAGATTATATATGCGTACGTATTGTTATTTACAATTAATGTGTATGAAATGTAGTAGGCACACATTTTTTAATTCCTAATCAAAATACTTTCCATCATAGCTATGTATGACAATTTCCAAGTCGTGCGACGTCACGATTATATCTTCTAAACTGTAATTAATTAACGATAAATAAAATGTAATCTATTTATCTAACTGACGAGCTAAATAGATTTTTAATTTTCGTAGGTACTCTGATTAATATGCTTATTGTCAAAAGTGTGTTCGAATATTTTCGACTTACTTTTTCAAGTAACAATTTTAACAAATGCATTAAGCCACCGGCCTATGAAGGTCCACTGTGTAGCAAAGGTCTTTTGTCACTCGAAAAAGGTTCGGATCAATGATGATTTCACACTTGTTGTGAAAAATTATAAGTCCAAGTTTCCTCACGATGTTTTCCTTCATTGCTTATAAACGGCGCTGTGAGTTTAAAATTATCTTAGAAAGCACATATAATTCGGATAAAGTGACATTGGTCCTTGCCGGGTACAAATACACATCCTCATGTCCGTGAAAAGGTAACCAGATTACCATGATGTAGGTACTACTGTAAAAAAATTGACTGTCTCTGTTGGAAGCACTATAACAACCACGAATGAATGAACGTTTTTAAACCATAAGTATATGGTAAATACAAGTCATAACTGAACGCAATTGTGTGATACGCGCCAAATATATTAATATTTATCTATTATTAAATGTCTAGCTAGTTAGTAGTTTTGAAATAAATCATAATGTTATATATCTTTAAATACTTTCATAACTAAAGGGTTTGCGACAGCAAAAAAAAAAAAACTGTAGACTACCATAACTTTCTTTGTGTTCGTAACATGTTGTAACATAGAGTTATGATAGTGTGCAGTTCTATTTTTATTTATTCGATACCGACTATTGTTGAGTCAAGGTTAAGAATAGTTGTATATTATTTTTGTATATATATCACATATATTGATATATATGTTATCGCAAAACGAACAGACGAAACACCTGATTACGCTTTACGCTCACTAAAGTTACAAGTGCGTTGCCGGCCTTTTGGGGTTAGAGATATGGATTGAGAACGTAAGGTAGCGGGAATTGGGCTCAGGCAAAATTATTCTCATAGCGAAATACTTCTTCATTGATGTTTCACGCTAGTTGTCTGTGAAGACATGATATCACTCTATTCCTCCGATCCAGCTGGCCCATTCGTGGCAAAGCATGCCTCACCCACAGTCAAATCGATTGCTTTATTCCTAAATTGGACTTCTATTTGTAGTAGGTTTGCTAATTGTAGCGATATTCCACTGTGACCAAACGTATATTTGTCTGTACTCTAAATATGGTCCATAAAGGCTTTTGACCTGAATGGAGGTTAATGGATTTTATATTTATATTATAGGAAATTCTATTAAATATTCAGTTTATCACGTAGATATAGCTTGTGCCCAAATAGGTTGACTGCAATTTATATTGTTAGTAATCTAACATCGGCAATTGTTTAATTTGGGGCTGATTTTTCAATGGTTAGATAAAAGTTATCTGGGGAATAACTATGATGCTGTCGCGTCAGAATGCATATACAAGACAGTGATAGCAACAATTTTATTCCTCAGGTAGCATTTATTTGGCTATTGAAAAATCAGCCCTTAAATTACTATATTTTTGTGGTATATTGATCTATGAAGATGTATCAAGACTAATCTAAACTGTCCTTGTTTTAATTATATTCCTCAGTTAGAAGCGATAAGAAGTATATTTGAAAATATCTTAAAGGTATAAAGTGATATGGTGACTACTCACTTCTTTAAAATACATCAGTAGGAACCAATGCACAAATAGGTCTACTCGACCGGAATTATACCACGGTGTTACAGAAAATGGATATAATGGAATAAAAAAAAACGCTGTATGTCGTCGTGAGGTTCATAGGTTACCAGTGTTTCAATATGTTCATCGACAAATGAAATCCTCCCAGAAAGGCTGCGAACGTATTTGCTTATCTTCTGGTGTTGAGTAAGCCCATGGGTGGCTGATTATTAACATCAGGTGAATGGTCTCGTCTGCTGCCCATAACATATAAACATTTTGCTTTTTATACGCTACATGTCGGCTAACTAACTAATTTTTAAGTTTAATACAAGCTGCCTTTATCTATGTTCTGGCCAAGTATTTCATTATTTCTACGAAGAAAACTAAGCCTTTGGCAAATACCTACACAAGTTCTTGTTTGTCCGCTTCGTATAAAATCTTCTGTACATTCCAAGCATTCCTATCGACGACAAAATAGAATTGAGAAGACTGCTAAATTCATAACTTTTTAGCAAATCCCTTTAAACAGCTGAACTAAGTACCTGATCTTAATCTGTTCAATTTCAACACTCGCTGTGAGAACAAGGTCTATGGGGAACCATAATTAATAAATGTTAAAAAGATCCAACAGATAGCTGTATACATAGCTATGGGTAGGTATACAAACCCCAAACAATATTCCCCGAAGGATTAACACCAGCATTTGTAATAGCACATTTGAATTTCCGCATTTCACACATTTGAATTTTATGTCAGTTGACGGTGCAGATATATTTTATGCATTTGTTTTATATAGTTGATTATTTTGTTCTAAATAAAATGTTTACGTACAAAGACAACCTTGCATATCTTTCTAAGGTTTGACTTTACAATTCTCTGACGAAGTCTTTATTATTTTCTAAATTGTTATTTAATAAAAGTTACCATTATTTTGCTGTAGACCATCATTGATATATGTATACAAAAAGAAAGCGTAACCGTAATCATCGACACTATCATTGGGACATAGACGCTATCTCCATTACATAAAGCTTATATTAGGATGAGGTCGTTCAGGAATATTCTAGAAAATATTGTGACTGAAGCGTCCTCTAGATAAATTCAGAAAATCAGAGAACATAGGTGATGTTCTCTGATTTTCTGAATTTAATTTCTGTCTCCGAATATAAATCAACAGAATACGTCGTGTCAACGACCCAAAACGTTATTTTAACGACAGCATTAGCGAGCTGCGATTTGTTCACGTTCAAACATACAGAACACTTTACATATAATTAATGAGGCGACAAAACCTCATCTCGGTCGCAGTTAAAGTCAATTCCCACTGAAATTTCATCATCGTCAATCTAACTTGGGTTTAATAAGTAATACTCGTGGCGTGGGCCGTCCCTGAGCTCGGCTTGGCGCGTCCAGCGAGATGTTGTGCGTCTCATCTATCCCGCTATCCTTTACTCGCGCGCGCGTGCTGCGGTCTCAGAGGGAAACCCCGCAACGTCCCTCCATTACCATAATACGCGTCCATAAATCTACTCGTGTGTGTTGAAATTGTAGATGAAAATATCAAATAGGATTTATAGATAGCATTTAACAGAATGTTATTGAGTATTTTTAAGTTTGTGAAGGAAATGAAGGTGTGCAAGTGGCGCCACCTGCGACGGTGTATCTGTCCCGCTCTTGAGGCGAGGGCGTGTCCCCAGGGCGCCTCCCCCAGTCCGCGGGGACGGACGGGGGCGCCGCGAAGCCCGGGCACTCGGCGCCGCTCTCCCGCGACGCTTGTTAGTGTTCCGCAAATTCACAGCGGGATCGCCCGCACAACCGGGACTCGATCCCTGAACGCACATACGATAACACAGAGCCGCCTACCGGATAGTTATACAACAGATAGTTGAAGCCAAGTTGAAGTATTTTTTCCAAACGTACGTTTTAACATCGAATAATTTTTGTGTAATTTCTTTGAGGTTTCCTGTGTTTTTTAAATAAAAATAAATTTATTTTGCGGTAAATTTATCTTGAAACATGTACAATTGAACATTAAAAACTTTTTCAAAAAAAAATACACACAACAATTAAATATTAATTTAAAATATTTTATTAGTAAAAGACAGTGAAATAAAAGAATAAGAATTCAAATTTCGAACGTAATTTTCGGAGTAGTTCGTGATTTTCCGGGGGTGTTCGTGCGCTTTCGGGCGCGTAATCGGGTGCGTGTCGTGATTCGAGATTCGGTCGGACGAGTTGAACGCGGCGGCGGGCGGGTACACGGGTTCACCGTGGCCGCCGCTGGAACTCGACCCCGTGGGATGGGGACGAAAGCTATACCCTTCGGGAGCCCCAAGATCTTCAGGTATGTACCACGAAAATATTATATTTGAAAGATATTTTTTCATCGCAACTTGTTTCGTTTATTTCTGCTGTGTATAAATGATTTCAATACCTGTAATTTTTTCTATGAAAACAAACCAAGAAATTATGTGCGGAAAGTTTGTAACTTTTAATACCAGTTACGCATTTCAATAGAAAACAAACCTTTTTTTCAGTTTAAACTGTTTATACGCTTTAAAGCAGATAACACTAAAATCACTCAGAAACAAGCATAAAAAAGTTGTTACCGTTCTTAATTAAGGTAAATCATTCTCATTTTGAATTCAAAGTGTTGATATAATCAAGTCTACGAGTGCGGCTACGGCGTAGCATAACAAATGAGCGTAGCAGGCGTAGTAATTAATTCCTCCTCTAATTCATACCATCTTAGCGAGAACTTAGTTTGTTATAGTTTAATTGATAGAAACAAACTTTTCATACTATTTATAGACTCTGACTGTAAATGTTAGAAGTTAAATGTAAACTTCTGTAAAGGATCCCAAACTTTTTTCCAATCTATTTTGAAATTAACTGTTAATATGATAAGGATTGTTAAAAATGAATTTGTCCTTTAATTTTTGGAATGAACTTCGATTTCTTGAGTACATTCCAATGGTGTGTGTAGTATAAGATATTTTGTACAGATTGTTGTTATTTAAAAATTGATGATGATTCTGATGCAAACATTTAAAATTATAAGAAGAGTGAATATTTCATGTACCATGGATTTACATTAAATAAAATAATCCGATTATATTTAGTTTTTTATCACAAAATATGGTAGGATACAATAAAAATGTCTTAATAGCCACTTCGATTTATTTATATTTTAAAACTGAATATTAAATCGCGTAGTAAAAATGATTTTACATCTATGCTTTAATAGTTTATACTTTTATTAAAATTTTTTTGAAGATCAATTTACCAATAAAATTTAAATAAGAAGAAAAATCTATTCAGATTTTTGGCCTTGTTTCGTAAATCTCTTGACGTGAAAAGCTAATGTTCTACCAAACATAAGAATAAATTCTTTGTCTGATCTAGAAATTGTTGTTAAGGGTCTTCATGTATTAAAGCGTGTGTAAAATTATATGTTTGTACACACATCGAAGTCACTAAAGAAAACAATATAAAAATGCTTCTGTAGAAACCTAAAAAGTCTATACAAGAAAGATGACTTGATATAAATAGATATACCTAATAGAAAATAATGTTAGTTATCATTACAAAAATTTGTAAGTATCAATGTTAAAATATTTCAACACTCGATACTCAAAACTCAACATATTTATTGCATTCCACAATGTGAACTTAGGTGGTAGAGTACATTAGGATATACATATGTACCTATATATTAGTTTAAGAGCATTGTGGGCCATGTCTTGTATAACAATACTACTAAATTTTTTTAGGTAGAGGGCTATTATAAATATTTTTTACAATATTTCATTATTTTTATTTAGGTAGGCTTATATGACTTATAACTGAATTCCATGTACTATACATATATAGTATAATACATATGTATTTGATCCAATTTCAAAGAATACTTCTTCAATCCTAACAGGACCTATATATTATACTATTCTTTTTTAATTCTCTTATCACTTCAATATAGCTTTCTTCACCTCTTCATAAGACCTTCATTCATGATGATCAAATGCTGGCTCTTAATAGTGATGTCTTTAACAGGCGGACTGATGTTCGGCCTGCACCACCAGGAGGCGGCGGGGGGCATCCACGCTCAACCCCGAGGGCCTGTCACATCACTAAAGGAAGAACCCCTCACTCGAGCATGGATGACTCCCACCTCACTAGTTGATAATACCAAGTAAGTGTTTTTAACATTATTGGAATAAGTTCCCCAGTAGATCTTTTTGCTTGCAGTGAATACAAAAAATATTGAAAATTTTTTATGCATCATATTTTGATAACGGAATGATTATTTTAAGAAAAGGTTAATAAATGCAAATAACAACGAAAGTTAACATAGTATAGTATTCTATGTTTGCATTGGAAGCGGAAAGTTGGCCTTGTTATTTTCATTTAATTATAATTAATATTGCGCATAAGAACTTAACAAGAACAGAACAAGGTTTTATGATCACACCTTCGTTTTTAAATAAAGAATTAAATTCCATGACAAATAAATGTAAGAATTACTCTAAAATCATCAACCCTCAAATATCTATAAACAATAGCATGTGCTTCGAAAAAAATCAAACAGAGTACCCTCATTTGATACTCTATTAAACCTTTAGTTAGTAACCGAAAAGAACATCGAACTAAACTTATTATGGCAAACGAAATTGTATTAGCACTCTTCGAACTCGGAGCAAAACGTACCCTATTTGACATTAAATAACTGTAAGGGATTAAGTTCGGTTTCCTAATGCGGCTTTTCGTGGGGTTCTTGTCAATCAATATGTTTGTCTGCGTCCAGTAGTTGCAGCTCGGTGGATTTACTTTTGATGAAGAATACGGTTGGTAAATATGCTTCGTCTGGCAGCAAATGGCATGCTCCCGAATAATTCCCGTTGTTGCTCGTCTACATTTCGTAGTAGAAAATATAAATTCATTTAAATTGTGTATTTTTAATTAATTTTCTAACCTCAACATAAAATGGAACTGAATCAAAACGAGAAACAGTCCTTAACATACATCCACACAAAGTTTTGGACCACCTGAGTCAAATAGTCCCTACCAGTACAAACTTGCAATACTTTTTTTAAACCAGACCAATTAGCATGACTCTTTCAACTATCCACAAAACCCCAATCACCTGTTCCCTTACCGAGTCGATAAGTACAATGGCTCTATTATCACGTATCCAATCAGGGGCGTTCATATTTCGCACGGCCATAATGAAGTATGCGGTAACAAGTGCGTATTCATAAAAGCAAAGGGCGCTATAAATCATAGCAAGCGATGCAGGGGCAGTGCAGGCACTGTTACGTTCAATAACCATGTAGGGTACAGAATATCGTTTGCGATTGTACCCGTGTAATTTATTTAGGAAAGGTATGCCTTTTTTAAATTTTAAAAGTGTTTCAAAAGGTATGCCGTTTGGCCTCTTTTAAATTGGAAATTGGAAAGTGTTTTAAAGATATTTTAAGGTTCACATACATACGTTGCAATGCTCGACTTGTTTGCAAAACATATGCAATTAGTATTTATAATATTGGTAATTAGATTGCTCTGGCAGATCAATGAAAAGATTTTACCTAATATCAAATCCGATAATACCTCATGTAAAGTAAAAAAAAGATCTCCCTCTCTCTCTCTCTCTCTTACTTAACATGAACAATACTAAACAACACCCAGTAATTTCATAAATAATATTTTGTTCACAAAATTCTAAGCATAATACTATAACCATTATTTATTCAAACTCATAATTTACTAAAAGAAAAACTAACAAGCCCATACATTTTATGATAATATAATACACTTGTGCAACAATAAACATTTGGTGCTCAGTATAATGTGACGTATTGGTGCACCGACTGTGAATTAGGGAGGTATTGTGTTTGCACAGAATCATAGAGGAGCGCCCTTCCGACATCTGTCGTGTTTTATCCGACGCGTTCCTTAAAATGTTTACTTCCAATTGTTTTTATTTGTTTTGTGTTGAAGTTGTGGTTAGTTTAATTATGGTTGATGTTGTTTAACTTAAGCTAATATTTAATTTTGATCTTAAGATCAGGCCGAACTGTGGTGTACTTGTTCGGTAATATTGATAGTAATACTACGAGTATAAAACATTGCTTCATCGGTAGAGGTAGACTTGCAGCTGTTTAGTTAGTAACACATTATTGGATTAAATATATCATGTTCTATTAATTCCTTAGCAGGTAATATTCTTAAACATGTAAATGAATTAATGTTCATTTGTCACGCTCAAACTCCGAAACGACTGGAACAACTAAGTTAAATTAAGGCTTGAAATACTGGTGGAAAATATGGAAAAATCGTTTTGACTATTTTATTAGCTTTTTAGTACCTTAAAACATTGGGACCTTAGAACAAGGAACAAAACTGATATTATTAAACTTTGAGGTCAGTATTCGTAAATTTTGATGCGGTACTCTGAGTTTATTGGGCAGATAGTAATTAGATAGATTTTGAAACATTATTGAAATACATATTATCACTACATTGTATAAAACAAAGTCACTTACTGTGTCCCTAAGTCCCTATATCTTTCTACATATGCTTAAATCTTTAAAACTATACAGCGGATTTTGATCCGATTTTATTTGTAGATGAGGTGATTGAAGAGAATGTTTTAAATAATAAAATAATTTAATAAAAACAAAAATGTTGTTTAATATTAATTATATAGTAGAAAAATTTAGTATTAGCGTTGCACCTGTGCGAAACCAGGGCAGGTCGCTAGTTATACATAAAATAAATAAAAAAGAATACTCCAATTAAATTAGGTAAAACGAATGACAATGACAAACTGTCGGTTATGAAAAAAAACTTAAGCAACCAGCATTTAATTAAAATGAAAAGAGGTGTGGTTACGTTAGCAAATTAATTTCTCAATAGGTCACTAATTATACTAATTGTAGGCAATCACCGGGTCTTGGGATGACAAATGTTGACAGATAGCTTACCCGTCGGCGATGACAGACTCATTTGTTTTCCACAGTAAATCATTAAGCCGCACCCGCTTACTAGCGTTTTTAATAAATTATATTACTAGGTAATGATCCGTCTAAGAGTGGCTGTACACGCGAATAATAATTGTTGTAGTTCCATAAAAGGAGGTTATACGTTTGAGTAATTAGTTTAATTTATTTGTGTTAGGAATCCGATGTTTTCCGTTTCAAATAAATTTAGAAGTGTATTCGAATTTATACAGCTAGTCTGCGTTGATAATTTAGTGATTTGTTTTTAGTAGGTAAGTGACTAAAATTAAATAAATTATATCTAAATAAAGTTTATTACTATTATGTTTATATTAAATTGACCAAAAAATACCGTGATATTTCAATACACTAAACAAAAAAACATAACAAACACAACACTATGGAAAAAGCGCTTAGTCCTAAAATATATACAAAAAACGGTCTAAAATATAGCTAAACATAGACATAGCAGGATCTGTGCGGAAAAATGCAGTACAAAATAAACGCGTTTAGTAAAATACAATTTAAATCCAAAATAATAAGAATAGGCCTTAATCAACGATAGCAAAACAAACTAAAAAAAAAAAACATCCAAACTATTCTAAAAAAAACAGAAAAACAAAAAAAATAAAACAACTTCTAAAAAAATAGGCAAAGATTGACAAAACGCGAGCGATCTGTAAGCGGAAAAAGCAGTGCAACCTAATCGCGAACGCGCCGCCGAAACTGGTAACGATAAATAAAACAATGGTGTGTCGCGTGCGAGAGTATAAAATGGCAATCGCGAAACCAATTTGTTTACGCAAATTCTGCAGCGGGGAGAGATGTATGGGCAACCATAGCGTAATACGGTCCTGGTGGGTAATGTGCTCTAGTGATGTCACTGCGGTATCGAGGTTTTTGAGTATACAACATAATATTTGTTAAGATAATATTTTTTTCGTTGTTCGTTTTTAACACGATCTTTTTCGACCTGTAAGGAAGTTTGTTATAAAAGCTATGAGTCTGAACTACAAACACTACACACAATTTATGTGATCATGCTGTATTGGAGTGCCATTGTACTAGTTTAGTACTTATGCTCGTTACATTATGGAGTTCAAACTCAATAGATATGTATGAAATAGTAGCACAAAGATTTTTATTTTAATTTAGTGATGAAATATTTTTGATATCTCAATTGAGTACCTAAATACCGAATATTTAATCATAATATTAAAAACAACGGCACATCCCTAAACACAAGCACGCATTTACGGCAAACAACAATGAGGAATGAGACCGAAGATTTGATGCACTGCACACATTTCAAATACTCTATCGATACATTTGTTCAGCAGTGACACACATACAGTCATTACTCTTAAAATAAATCTTATTACAATTGGTATAAAAGCTAATCTAAACGCAAATTTAAAATTGCATTCATTTTCGAAATTTGAACAGCCACACATGTCGATGTCGATGTGTGTGTTCAAGCGGTGCTATTCGTACATCGTCACTTCATTAAAGTGGTATCGATATTTTAGAATTGCTTCCGAATTCCAAAAATAATCTTAAATTTTAGAAAATTTTTGTTGTCCCTATGGTTTTAGAAACTAAATATTTATACCGATTACAGCTGTGCAGTTTATTCATTCCGCATAGTTTAAAATTCGTAGTATAACAATACGTGCCAACTTTATGAAAAAAAATGTCTCCGCAATTCTTCGACTCAAACAATAACATAGTTAACACATCTATTTGTAAGAAAATTAAGTCATCAGAACATGAATAAGAAAGGGTTAACAGTAAAACGAAATAATGACCACGGTTGACTTGCAAATCTACATTCATAGTAACGGTAAAAGCAATAAATCATTTTTAAAGGATTATAATCTGTTTCTATTGTTTATCTGTAGTTTTTGTTTAGTCTGTGGCGTGTGACAAAGGCGCGGTTAGTTTTGGCGGCAACGTGTCTATTGACAAATTGCGGTTTGGAAATAAAGTAACTGTGAAAGAAATGTGATAATTTATGATCTCTGGATTTGGGTTTCCGAATTTTTTGTTTGAAATCTTCATGGTGCATTAATATTTTGTTTATTTTGGTAGCTGGTAGTTGGGCGCGCGAAAGTTTTGGCAAAAACTTCAGATGATGTTGATCTGACTTATCTATTTGTTTTTTGATAAGGTTATATATGTATTTAGTCGTTTGATTTATAAAGTATAAGTACAAAATCAATTAAAAAGAAACAAACATATATTTCGATTCCTTCTTTTTTATTTTCAATGTGTGTATGTGATAAATACATGCATATTGCTTTTTATATTTTTTAACATAATGTTTTGTTCCAACAGTAGCGTAGGCGTGGGTCGTGCGCACTTCGAGAAGCAGCCACCCAGCAACCTGCGCAAGAGCAACTTCTTCCATTTCGTGGTCGCACTCTACGATAGAGCGGGACAGCCAGTGGAAATTGAACGCACCGCCTTCATCGGATTCATTGAAAAAGATCAGGTAAAGTAATAATTTAATTATTGTTTAATTAGGTTGTTGAAGATAATGACCAAGGACAAACGTTCTTTGTTGAATTCGTTCGGGTTGAGTGAGGTTTGAGTATTTTGTCAGTGATTAATTCTTTAAAAAATATAACTCCTTTACTCTTTCACAATACTCCATTCAAATTAAGTCAAAATTATCGAACACTCGTATTTATACCTGACAAATGTAGGAAAATATTAAGAGTAGTTAGTAATCGTATGTAGGAAATATTTAGAATATTATAAACCTGTAGAGTTTGTTTGCTTGTTTGTATGCGCTAGTCTCCGGAACTACTGGTTCGATTTGAACGATTATTACTTTTGTGTTTATTAGTCCATTTATCGAAGAAGGCTATAGGCTATAAAATATTACGCTACCATCTGTAGGAGCCGAACAGCGGGTGAAACCGAGAGTAGCTAGTATTTTATAAGATTTAACATTTTTACAATATGGAAACAATTTTAAACACTAATATTACTGAGCCGATTACGCGGTGTCTGCTTTATAACTTTGAACTTAGTTAGCCCCTTTCAATACGGCGTCATATTGTTAGTTTATCAAGAAATGCTCGAAACGAGATACGAATCACTGAATTCACCGGAGTTCATCAATCAGGATCGGTCCGACATGATTTCTATTGTGTGCACAACACTTATTTACATAATACGCATGCGTGTTGGTGGCATGTGTTAAAATTCAACTCTTGATATACATCACTCTGTCTTTAGTTTAGAGATATTCTTTTCATTTTTATTAGAATACGTCTTTAAAGTTCCATTTTTAAAAACATTAGTCATAGATCATTCTCTATCAATAGAAAATAAACAAATAAATTTATAAAACAATTAAAACCTCTAAAGACGCGCCTTTCATATAATATTGATATTACTGGCAAAAAAACAAATGAAAAAATAAAACGCCAAAAATATGTCTCCAATATAGGTTACAATGTCTGTCGACAGAGGGCGTTGGCGCGTTCACACGTCTTGTTTGTTGGCGTCATGTTAATTATTCATATAGTAAACATTCATGTTCGTGTTTTACTGAATGCGGTCCGTACTTTATATCATACTGTTAAGCATTCTCACTCTAGGAAACTCTTTTTGGAATTCAATATTGGTTTGCAGCCAGCCAGTTTTGTTAAATTTATTTTTTTGTATTTTGAATGAAATATAGTGTAAGCTGCGGTTTATTTATGAAACGATGTTTACGAATAGTTTACATTATTTAATGAGACAGGCATGTACATATATTGTAAGTTTGCAATAGAACTAGAGAACGAACTATTTTCTACCGATTAATAACTATACGAGGGAAATGACAATATATACTTATATTAAACTTGAACAAAATCATATAGGTCACGTAATTTAACCTTAAAGTTTAGGAAAGTATCTACAGTACAGTCAGGTCAATTATTTGATAAGTAGGTAAGAAAAAAAGATGACATAGAATAGAGAAATTATATCTCTTTATATACCACATTACATGGTTTTAATAAAGGCAATGTATAACTAGTATTAATCGGCTCAGTAGCCAAAAAGTAGTTAGGTATTCTTACCTTTAAACTGAATTAATCTTTTTTCTTTTATTTAATTTGTATCGGCCTACCAAACAATTGTGTACATGGTACATAGTTATACAATAACCGCAGTACAACTACTGAACTTTTTTATACACAAGGCTGTTCCATTAACCATAACATTTTGTTACAGGAAGTTGAAGGGCAAAAGACGAACAATGGTATCCAGTACAGACTTCAATTACTTTATGCAAATGGTAAGTGACTATCTTCCTCAGTTTTGGGGTAACTCCATGACGAGGTTGAAGATATTCCTCTGGACAAATCCCCTCCGTTTATGTTATAGCTTGAGGAAAATTCTGTCGACTAAGCTGCTTGCTGCGTTTATAAATTTATATTACATTGTGGTTGTAAGGTGTACTTCAGTGGTAGGATATAGACACGCAATATTGAGGTACACATTTTAGGACTAGACTAATGTATAAAGTATTTTTTATATATAATTTACAAGGCACGTTCTTATATTTTAAATCTTAATATCTTTACAACCTTTATTATACAACACGTTTGATTTTATATATGTGATCAACTTCAAACGTAGAAAAGTCTTTTAGATCTTGCTGCCGTATGAAAGGACATTTAATGATTGAGCAGACTGTTCTATAGTACCGCTTATATTTCAAATGCACAATTGCAAAGCAAAACACTGGCAATTGCAAAGCAAACATATTAATATTGTATTAAGTCATTTAATGATTTCGGTAGTTAGACACATCATAAACATCCTAATACACCAAGCTTAATTTCCAAAACATCCTGTATAACGTTCACTAAATGTTAAAGTAAAAGTTATAAATAATGAAGTCAGTTTAACAGTGGTGCACAAAGCGTTGAAGTGTGTACACAATCTAGAAGTTTGTGTTGAACAATTTGTACAATTTTACAAAAATTGCATATTATTTTAATAATCGGGAATAGCCCACCTCAATAAACGTGAAACAAATGCTATTATATTCAAATCTGACTTAACTCTATGATGCATACCCTAAAAATACAACTCCAATTCAAACGCATCCTGTATAAGGTACAGTTAACGACATTATTGTATAGTTAGTATCGTCTCAACCATCATCTATAATGCTTTGCGCATCCCTGTATTGACTACAGTGGTGCGCAAAGCATTATCGCCCTGCAGACGGGAGTTGAGCAAATATTGCCTGAGTTCGGCATTGTCGTACTGTCATGCATGCTATTGTCGTCAATAGCTATTCAAGCTTCTAAGATCGAGCTAGACTAGTGCTGGGAAGATGCTTCCTAATAATTGAATTACCTATGTTTTTAGTTTAAGGTATTTTGTTAAGAGTATCAGTTTGTTCGCCATTAAACAAATAATGGAATTATTCTGATCGAGAAATTTAACTATTGAACTTAAATATTATTACAGTAATAACATATATTACAGTATAAATAAATGACAGACAAAAATATAATTTCTGATTAATCTTCACGCCAAAATGCATTTTACTTACCTGGTACCTTTCTAGTTTTTTGCAAAAACTTATTTCATGCAAACATTTGTACAAGCAACTATAGCCATTATTTCATAGCAAGAAGGTATAAATCAAATGTAAAGCTCAATCTCGTATTCAACAGTCGTCGGTGACAACACAGACTATACACGATGGTCGCATTGTAAATATTTGCCGTCTTGCCGCTAGACCAGGGATAATGGAAAATTGGCACAGAATAGCGAGCTCCTGGACTATGAATGACGACAGCACTGAAGCTCTTAGACTATGCTATTGGATGAATGAGTCAATGCTAAATTTAAGTAAAAATATTTTAGGAAACTATTTGAGATGTTTTCTTAGTATTTTGGGTTGGTGGATTAGAAATTTAAATATATTTAAAGTTGAAGGTGTCTATTGAATTGTATCTAACGAAGTCAAATTAATGCTCAAGTTACGGTTTGATATTCGCAAATTATTTTTTTTCAAAAATGCGATTTGTAAGTAAAGTTAATACAAACCATTTGGAACACGGAACTCTAAAAGGAGAGAAGCAAGCATAGAGGCAATTCTAGGAGGTTAACAAATTGTGCAATGTCTGCTGCTACGTCGCTACGCCCGTAGCCCGTAGCTCGTAGCTTGCTACGATCTTTATTGCTACTATGTGTAAATGTTACTGTTTTATAGGAGCGAGAATTAGAACGATCTTAATATAAACACAACATGTTAGGGATAGTGCCAGTATGTTAGCAATGCAATTATTTCTAATGTTTTTGCTCTGATAAAACTTTTATTTTTATTTACAAAAAAGAAATATATTCTTTTCCCGTGGAAGTCGAAATTGAACTAAACATTTTTAATCTTCTCTTGTTTTTCTTAATATTAATTGGTTGTCGTCTTTCACAGGTATCCGACAAGAGCAAGACATATTCGTTCGTCTTATCGATTCGGTGACGAAACAGGTAAGAACTCCATAACATTTTCCATTGGCTCTGCAATTCGGTTAAAAGATTACACAAAGAGTTCCCAACACAGATGTCATGTTATTCCTAAAACGTTCCTTCCAAAAGTACGCCATGTTGCCACGTGACCTACACGTGATGCGCACGCGTCTGATTGTCATCGCCCGCCGTCTGATTAGACCCTAATCCCCACGCCCCCTGGTCAACTAAATTGCATTGCGTTTGCGCACAATCATTATCGTTATCTCGTGTTACAATTTTATTTTATTTTTAGTTTAGAATTTGATATTATGAATGGGGAGTGTCGTGTTGAAAGATTTTGATCGACGTAAAGGGTTTGATCAGCTGTTCGTAGGTGTTAATCCGTTTGTGATTTTGTTACATGAGATATGTAAGGGCCTTGATGTCATTGTGTTCAGTAATAAAATAAATGTGAGAAACAATTTTGACAAAGATAAAATAGATTATTATGTATATCGAGACTGGTTATTTTGTCCAACACAATTACTTAAATTTTGATGTGACCGCGTGCTAGTCAAAACTACATCAAAATCATCTTAACAATTATACCTTAAACGCTATTTTTTAAATAATTATAATATTTTTTTTTTATGTTTATCCATAACACAACTTTCATTACAGATTATCCTAGTGCAAAAATGTACTCAACATTTAAGCAAAGTTACATTAATCTATCTAAACTAATATTATAAATGCGAAAGTAACTCTGTCTGTCTGTCTGGCTTTCTGTCTGTTTGTCTGTCTTTCTGTCAGTTTGTCTATCTTTGTCTATCTTTTCTTCACGCCTAAACTACTGAACCGATTTCTGTGAAATTTGGTACAGACATAGTTTGGAACTCAAGAAAGGACATAGGATAGTTTTTATACTAAAAAAACCACCAGGAAGTCACTATTCACAAGAGAACAATCAACTGCAATTATAAACAGCAACAAATAACATAGTTAAGTAGAGCATGATGAAACTTCAACACCTCACATATATAATTTCAACACGTCCTATGTTAGTGTTGTGAAACAGGAGGCCAATTACCAAAGATTTATGTTGAGCACATAATTAACTTAGGCCGAACGTTGTTAACTAAGAATTACGGAATCGTATGCGGTATACAACCTACGCGGTTATATATAATGGGTAGTTTTTTGCCTTAATTTTCGATACATTATGAAAATATAATGTAATCTAACAAATGTTGGTTTCTAAAATAGTTTTTTACACCGGTAAGACCTTAAAACTTTCAAGAAAATAGGTCACCTATGTGCAAGGGCATAGGTGGCGCTGATCGCATACTATTGTGGTGAACCATCTACTCGTTTGCGTTCTATTCCATAGTGAAGTACTTCGTATGTGCTGACTTTGAGATTGTCCTTCTTATCCCCATCAACCAGTTTTAATTAACATGCTAGCCCAATATACGCTTCACTGAGCGTTTGTAAAAATTGTCTTTAAAAATAATAAAACAGTTTTTAGTCATAAAACATAGCGTTGTTATCAAGAGAAATAGACGTATCTAATAGACGCAAACTAGTTATGTTCACTTAGAATGTAGGTCAAGGTTCCATCAGCTGTATATATCTTTTATCTAATTGCCAAGTTTATTGATTATAAAACAATTTAGAGATACGTGTAATTCAGTTACTTAGATTTTATTACATAATTCGTTGCAAAAACGAGTAAAAAGAAAACTTAAAAATCTTTAATGTAATTTAACAATGTGTAGAAAGTATTTTACTTTATTTTATTAACACACTGCCACAGGCTCATATGTAGCGTTAATTATATTCGATATTGTCAAGTAACGCGTTAATAAATCAAACGTAAGGGTTAATTTAAATTGCACCACACCTTAATACCCTCTTGACAAGAGGGTTGTTTGAAATTATGACTGCAGCCTTCTTCAGTATCGTAACCCGTTATTGTGTGTGTATGGAGACAATTCATAACTTATATGTTTATATATGTAATTTAGAAAATAGGGGCAATGAAACTGTAACGGTTTTAATTGCACACATATACAAATGTTACAAAATATTAAACAAAAATGTTAAAATATGCGTGTGAGATTTACCTGGCAAATACCAATGTGACTTTTTCCGAATTATGTGTGTTAGGAACTTTCTATAATTATTTAGACGTGTGAAAAGAGGCCTTTGCTCAGCAGTGGATACTTACATATAAGCTAATGATTAGATTCTAATTGAAAGATATTAAAGGCTTTTATAGATACAAAGACATGATTGGTTTAAATCTTCCCCTATACAGTAACACAATCATCATCTAGAAACTATTTAAATCATTTCTATTTAAATCAAAAACAAATCACGCAACAATATAACTTGAAATAAAATTTATTCTATCACAAACATAAGTACGATACCGTTGTTTTATGAGGGAGTAACAAATAAAGTGTGCTGTGGACTCGAGACGTGTTTGCATCGCGGCATCTTGCGTGATTTACATGAGCAACAACGCACAGAGACTGCGAAATTGTGTTGTGCTGGCACAATTTTTATCTGTGTTCTTTGTAATTTGTTTAGAGACAAGTCTTTAAGTAGAATGACATAGCTTTTAGTTTATTTTTTCTATTATGTCCACCTCAGACATCTTTAGCGCTTATGTGGCTGCGGAGCAAAGTTATCTTCTTATAGGGAAAAGGTATGAGTATTGATCAGCATGGTTGTTCAAGATGGATTGTTGATATCCCTCTATACATATATTTAGTTTTCTCTAATAGGTATCTGAATATTATTACAAATAACATGTAAATAGGAACATTGTTATTTGCCAAGTTTTGTATCCTCTTCCATTCTATCCATCTTCATGCATGAGAAGCGAGCGCCTTAATTTCCGAGTCACTTATGTTCCCACTATAGTGTTGTAATGATAGTAAAATCGTAATGTTTAAGGAGAGCTGTGGAAAGCTAACCATAATATAGGTTAATGTAAAACTGACCTAAATTAAAAATTCTTATTTTTTTTTTATTTGATATCGGGATTCGTGTAGACTACATAAATTTTTGGAATAAAATAATTTGAAAACTTTTTATTCACATAACACTTTTTACATAAATAATTATATGTAATTATTTAACTTCGAACATTGCCAATTCATAATCATTGCTACAAGAACCTTCTGTAATAATATATTTGTCTTGTATTGTAGGCATGTAAGTGGTTATATAAATAGTGAATAAGAGAACTACAATGATTTACGTAAGAAGTAAAGTCGCCTGGCAACCTCGCCAGAACAGTTTACTCTAGATATTTTTATTATCACTGCAGTCGCACTTCTATACAATACATTTTCTTTACTTTTTCATAACAAATCCTTAGACTAGAAAAGATGTAACTGATCATTATACGCTTTTTTACACAAATTCATTCAACTATACATAAAATGATCAATGTGAATGTATATTTAACTAATTTTATTAATTAATTTGTGCCTATAAATTAAATATAAAGTGGTACAAAGGTAGGTATTGCATATTGCAAAAGGATTTTTTCCATGCAGAACGCGAAAGGAAAATTAATTAAAAACACAGTGTATAACCAAAATAGAGAAATGAAGTAAACAGAAGGAAACTTAAACTTAAATAACTAACAAGTAAAAGTTAAAAAAAATGTTATATATATCATCGAAGCTGGGATTTGACTCAATCTTTTTTGTAAGTTTTGTGCTCACATTTACGAGTACACTTCCAAAGAAAGCACACAGATATTATTCTAATAAAAATGCCCCAAAATACCTCGTAAACCAGTTTCCGAAAGTCATTTCGCGAACAAAAGGCAACTAAATTAATATGTTGTTTGAACATCGTTAAATAAACATAATCATGGCGCCACGTGCGCTCCACACGCCTTCCCATTCAGACCATGGACCGTTCTATGGGATTTACTCCAATCTCATTCGACGAACTATGAGTCAGTATCTTAAGACTATACTCAAACATAGGGTGGGCAGATTGATGTTTTAGATATTGATATGATAGTGATTTAGTATGGGAACACAAATAATCCCGTCGTTGCTACTTGCGTACTTAGTTTGGTGTAAAATTTACGCGCAGATTAGTATAAGTGTGGGAGAGTCAAGCTTCCAGCACAAATGGGTCGGTTCGAGTGTTACGACGGCCTCACAGAAAACCGGCGTGAAACAACTACAGCGTTGTGTTTCGCCGTGTGAGTGAGGTTACCGAAGGCCCAACCCCTTCCCCTCCCCCATTCCAAGCCTGAAATATCCTAAACCCTTATCACTAAAAGGCTGGCAGCGCACTCGTAACTCTCTTGGTGTTGCGGGTGCCGATTGCTTACCATCAGATAATCTGAATGCCCCTTCGCCGAACTAATTCATAATAAAAATAGCACCTCCATTATATTAGGCGTAATAATTTGTAATAGATTATTTCAATTTTGAAACAATCTTCGAAATAATATGTTTACCGTTTTGTTCAAGGTTGACATTTGAAATAATTTGCACTTATATGTCGAAGTTTTACTTATTTTTGTGTCTTACCAAAACAAGAGTTGCGTGTCGCGTTCGCATGCACCGCACGGCATTAGCTGATTGCCCGTGTGCCCACAGCCTAACGTTTTAATACAATTAAATCGACCGCAGCTCACTATTACATTGAACATCTTTTCATCGCCATTTTTGTGAACGACTCTTTTGCGTGTCACTCGATTTGTACCGACTTATTAAGATAATGTTACGTGACATTTTAGACGATTACCTCCTTTGTTTCAATCTGTTTTATTCAATCAAGTTTAGATAGTACTACGAGTATAACGTTGATCAACTTTAATCGAAATTTTGTCTATGTTTTGTATTGTTTGCCAAGTATTTTGATAACTCAGTCCCAAAAATTGTGATGACACGACAGACGCAAACTTAAGAAGCACCTAACACTCACTTATCTTATAGAAATATATTCTAATAAATATATTTTTTTTCTCTCAGTTATCATATAATACCAGGACCTTTGAATGCCTTAGCAATTAAAAAATATCAAAGTTAAAGTTGAAAACTTTAATTCCAACATACTACACTTCAGCCGGGGTTGCGGGGTAAGCGCAATGAGGCACCGTGACCTCGGCCCAGAGCAGGAGAAGGAACAGGGGGGTTTTTAGTCAGTAAGAGTCTGACACTCCCTCCCGCCCGACCCTGGGCAGGAGAAGTCATTTAATGATTTTCCCCTCACAAAAAAAAACACACTACACTTAGGTACTTTTGAAAACTTACAGTCTGTACCTACTTTTGAAACGTCAAAATAGAACTATAGTCTGATGATGTGTTCGTCTCAGTGAACAAGCAGCTACCGTGTTCCGAAATGTAGACTCGAATGGAAAAGAATAAACTAGAAAGTCCACACAGTAGTCTTCTACAATCTTCATAATTAATGACCTAATATGACACCCTACACAACACTACCAGTTACCTATCTATTTTTTTAAGTCCACACTAATTCCCCAGAGATTGAATCCCATGCGACGGACTATGCCCACTGCGGCGTCAACCCCAGACATCCTCGGGGATTGTCTCAATTCAAGTAGTGAACTTGAAAAATGTTAGTTCACACCACTATCTGGTCTTAGTGTTTTTATCTTAGCTTAAACGAAAGTTGTATAACAGTGTTCAATGTTTGGCGACACTATTTTTTGGTGTTGTAAGACTTTTTTTTTATTCAGGGTCTAAATATTGAAATGTGGAGGGCAATTCTGTTACGAACGATTTCTTGAACTTGAACTCCAAGCCAGACAAGAAAACACCAAATATTTGACAACTTATAGAGGTTTTTACAAACACTTGTATAGAGAGAAAGTCAGTAAAACTTTAAATGACAAAATATTTTTTATTCTGTAACGTATGTTAAGTAATTTATCAGCATCATTGCGTCATTAAGATTATTGATTATACCAACTGCACAACAAAATGGTAGGAAAATCTATTTGATTTACAGCAACACCTGATCCCGGCCCCTTACTTAAGCCGAATGCAGAAAATACGACCCCTAAGCTATTTTGATGTTCCTAAATACTTTTGTATGACCCTTAGATACCTATTACAATATACAAAGCAAAGTCCTTATAAATCCATGGCACAAAAGACGATAATACCCCTGTTTCATATTCAATTAAATATTTTGTCAGGGATGAAAAAATCTATTTCGGATTTAGGGGTCGTGTTTTGAATGTGTAAGTAATAGTTGTACAAATTGCTTGTTTTACCAAAATATTTATGTTAAGAATTATTAGATTTTCTCTCATGTGGCTAGTTTTTAAATAACATGATTATGTACCAAACTATAATAAGGAAGGCCTAAGAAAGTAAACAATTTGACAATAATAAAAAAAATGCGGAGTGAGAGGAACTGGGACGCCGTCTCCTCCTTTTGTGAAGCAGTCATGCTCGCAAAGAGAGAGGCGGCCCGCGTGAGGGAGCAATCCTCCTCCTCACGCCCCAGCAGCCGCAACTGGCGACACTACGGGCGTCGGGGATCGAGGGACGATCTCCGGCCACCGTAAGTACGGGCCTGCGGTCGGCGAGTAAGGGCAGCTCGCCGCCCGACCAGAACCAGGCCCGAGCGTACGGCGCGTAGCGTTCCGCGCGCGCCTCAAAGAGCCAATAGACCACCACAGACGGGGCCCTAAAGGGCTGATGTTCAGCCGGGGTTGCGGGGTAAGCGCAATAAGGTACCGCGACCTCGGCACAGAGCAAGAGAAGGAACAGGGGGGTTTTTAGTCAGTAAGAGTCTGACACTCCCTCCTGCCCGGCCCTGGGCGGGAGAAGTCATTTGATGATTTTCCCCTCACCAAAAAAAAAAAAAATAATAAAAAAAATAACAGATTCTTTTTTCTTTGATAAGAAATCTCTTAAAGAAAAAACTCACTTAGAATTTCAGTACTGTCTTAGGTACTTATACAAATATGTAATACAGTTCACATACCTGAAACAAAAATTTGTCTTACAAAGATTTGTTTCGGGTGGCAATCACCCTGGACATGCACGGTAGCCAGTTACCCAACTGGTGCAGACTTCTTCATTTTTTTTTACAAAGTTTGGACTTATTCTGCATGAATTGTTAATTATTAATCGAAAATGCAATTCCCATGAAACTAATTACTTTTCCGTATAACGTTTAACAATATTTGGTACCCCATATGTATTGGGGTTACCAGTAATTAGATATTAATAGATAAACACACTGTACACGTGTCGGGGTCGGACAGTATTACCAGATAGAAAAAAAAAACGGTTTGTAAGTTGCATTTGTACATCTACTGACTTTTGTGTAGGTAGGTACTCGTGTAATTAGAACATTATTTATATGAGTTCAAAAATCGAATTATTACCGTTTTTATTTTAAAATTGGACCAAAACTTTTTCTATTGTTTTTATCGTTTTGAACAGACAATTAACATTTGGTTTAAATAGTAGATAATTTTATTGCACTTTTGTGGTTAATTTTAACATAAGGAGAATGTTTACAATTTTTTTTCTGTCTTTTAGGTCAATTGACAATTTTACAATATTTTTTTCTTTTCTCACGGCTACGAATATTTTTTATGGTAGATCTATCGTCGTAGCGTAAAGGGTCGTGTGGTGTGACAACTTATTAATTAAATTTTCTACTGAACGAGCATCCACTTTCAAACTAAAAACCTTAAAATCCTTTTGTTTGTTTTATGGTACAAGAACCATAAATAAAAACTGTCTAAGAATTTTTCAGTATCTGATACACAAATAATAATAATTTAAGATTTTCATGTCCTACCATTATTCATATTAAGATTAACATTTTGAAATCATTTTAGGTTTATTCATAATCTAATTTCAATAAAGTTACTCTTTCGGTTTTAAAACTTTACTGCCTACATGATCGAAATGAAACAGTCGTGAAGTTATGTTAACAGAGTAGGCGTATACTTACCGATTTTAAAAATATCATCAGCTTCGTGAATTCAATGCGGGAATTATGCAAATAAGTTTTTGGTTTAGATAATAAAATGCAATAATTATGCATGCGGGGGGTGCATGAATTAGTAAAAGTAATAACACGATGAAGACGGGCCATTTTATATTTTATCTTATCTCTACAACGATTTTTAATTAATTTTGTATCATTATCTTATGTTACAAATTTATAGTTTATTACGATGAGAACATCTGACCCATTAGTTCTTCTGTCTTATTAAAATGTTAATGGTTCGTTTTTGTTTCAGCCTATTGTATACGAAGGACAAGATAAAAATCCAGAAATGTGCAGGGTTCTACTTACACACGAAGTTATGTGCAGGTAAGCACAATTACTTATATAATAAATGTGAAAGTTTGTGAGAATGTATAGATGTATTTTTGTTATACTTTCACTCAAAACCTGCTGGCTGGACCGATTTGGTTACCGATACCGATAGGTAGATAGATGGATTGAACCTGGTTTTTATATAAATCACTCAGTTTTTTATCAACATCTCACGTGGATTTATTGAAGAATATTAGTCTCTTAATATCTAATTTACTCGCAGTTTTTGTACAAATTTATTATTAAGAAAAAAACGATGTTAATGTAACCTTATTACACTATTAATATTGTAACTGGCACATAAAGCATCGGCCATTTTATTCGAATTCTACGTTTAAAAAAAAGACGTCACTCTTTTCGTAGAAACTGTCGCGACAGTCATTTGTCATAAATATTGACTCCCAAAATATTATTGCACGGTCATGTTTCTCCAAATGGCTGGCTTTTGTGGGCACTCGTGATAGGCACGACTGTGTTAATACTTTTACAATTCCTCGTAACTTTATGACAATTTCCTTTGAATAAATGTGCATTATTTCTGGAAGTTTCTTAACATATTTGAATGTTTGTACACGAATAGAAATTTAGTTTACAGAAATTGAATTTGAGTTTATAAATAGCCAGGAATATTAACCTAATCCAAATAAAACTGTACAAACATTCGAAATGTAAACAAGTAACAACAATTTTACGCGAAGGCATCGTGTAACTTCCTAATTACGAGCGGGCGAACAAAGAAATGAGCATCCTTATTAATTTAACCATTTGTTTGGGGTGGTTTTTCAGCTCGTAAACGTACTGTGTCTCGCCATTTTATCAATGTAAGTGTGTATGGCGATACTAGAACGCGTCAGTGTGAGCAATTAAAATTTTATTCCACCTTAGACTGCGTATCGTTGTCTCTTTTTGCTGGATATGTGTGTTCCTGTCGCACGTCTTCAGGGGAGGAGTCTCTAGGGAGTCTGTCCTTTCAATGTCTTTGCCCTTTGCGTCAAGGAGTCCCGGTAGGGCGCGTGCAGCGTATTGTTTGTTTAGCGTGGATATGACCGGTGTCTATAGAGTTTCTGCTGCCTACTTTTTGAACCTTCTGTTCAAAGTCCGTTAGGCATAAATTTTTTTCTTCGATAGCGTCGAATGACTTAGCATATAACGTTCTTTTTTCATTACTTGAGATTCATCGTTAATATTTTCCTTAAGTAGATTAGTGCCATTATCATATTTAAGTTCCAATAGTCATTATGTTAGATATCAGATTGCAGCTGTATCGTCACATGAAACCTACCAAAAATATCGATATCAATTCCCTACTATTTTTGTATTCTAATGTACACCAAATTCATGTTTGTAAAGGTTATAAATATCACCACAGCTATGAGTGACACATTGCATCTAAGCCCTTCAGTACTTTTACTAGCAATTTATTGATTTTCATCCCCAAACGGTACAGGTATCCCTTTACTCGGCTAAAAATACAGGGGATCGCCCTAATGTGTCCCGATATTGAGAATTTATTGTACTCTTTGATGTTATTTTGTACGTTATACAACTTCGACTTCTACGCGGTATGGTATACTATGCAAAAATACAAATATGTGATTTATTGCGCTAAGAATAAAGTGTGTTATCAATTGACGATTGAACATAACGACAGTGAACAAAACACTGTTGTGTCATAAAAATAACATTTCTAAATAACTAAGTACGCGTGTATGTTTGTACTAATATTGGAATTTATTTACAGCCGGTGTTGTGACAAGAAGAGTTGTGGTAATAGAAACGAAACACCTTCAGATCCAGTTATCATCGACAGGTAAGTCAATCTTATGTATTTATCTTATACTTATATTTATCTTATATCTTATAAAAACAAAATATTCCGATAAGTAAGGAGTAAATACTGAAAAAAGTATTTAGTGCATAGATAAAATAAATAGTGAATAGATCAAATAAAAAGTCAATCCAAAATTTTTGACATGGATAGGTTAGAAGCATTAAATAAAAGTCCAATATCACATGACTAAATTAAACAAAAACAAAAACAAGAAGCAGAGACAGAAACAAATAGCGAAGTTCAATGAACACTAAAACAATAGAGAGAAGCGTTTGTTAAAATTCCGTATTCCACAATTCGTAGCGATTCATCAGCCGGCAATGACGGCAATCTCGAAACTTTCCCGAGGCAAATGCATTTTCGCGATACAGAAAACTTTTGAGGCTCTCAGTTTGCATTGTATTTTTATTGCGATCGTTGCTGCCAGATATCTATTGCGGAGTTTTTGTTCAGAAATTTTATTGAAAGCCTTTTGGTCGACCTTGTTGATGTGTGGTATTTGTTTTGCGTTTTGATGGCATGTGAAATGCGTTTTGTGAAGCTAAAGTTTTGTTACGTAAGTTTGAAACTGGAAGGCTGTCATCATGTGGAAGCGGTGAATAGTTTAATTGAAACTTTCAAATATTTGAGTAACACCAAACAATAAAATGCAAGTTGAACAACCCTATATTTAGGGACCACATAAATATAGGGCCAATTAATCACACTTTTAATTATCCACTAAAAATTTTGGCAATAGAAATTCAATTGATAAAAGGTATTTCGGCAACCTTCAATCGGGGGTTCACAAACAAGTCAGGAAAAACAAAAGCTGCACAAAATTGAGCTCACATCGGTCTCACGCTGAGCCATTCAGACTTCCGATGTAGAACAGTGTCGGGAGGAGCGCCAGCTAATCAGGCTGACAAATATCGAAAATTTCAATAGAGCTGCGACCACTATTGATGCCAGGGGTCGCGGAGCGTTCTTTTTTTAATTTTCGGGAATTCTATAGAGCTAGGCGTGTCTCGTTAGTTTCATCGTTCGATATTTGAAATTTAGGGTTTTCAACACTGATCCTTAAATATAAAGCATACGATTTAAAAATAGAATTGTAACGTAATCGAAACGTTACATTTTGAACTTTTCGCGATTTATTTAGGACAAGTAGAACTATGAAGTAATAAAAATTTGTCTATATGTGGTGATCGAAAAACAAAACACAAGTTTATAATTCGTCTTCGCCAACCCTATACAACAAACGTCGCACGTCGGTTTTGTTATACCTACGGCCGATTCAATTTTTTCTACCTTGAAAAGAAAAAATCAATGGTTGCCTTTGGGCTAACTTTCCTTTGGTTTTCGGCGCATGAAGTTGATCGTGGAAATTCTCTTTCACCGCAAATAAAATTTGTGATTTTCGATCGTTTGATGTTTCCAAATTAAAATCGGTTTTGTTCATTATTAGGCCTGAATTTTACTGACAAAAGGTTTTATGAATATTCATTGTCATTTATGAGTGTGTGTGTTAATTTGGTTTCATTTATGAATCAAATTACACATGATGTAAAGTATCAAAATCACTATTAACGTTTTTTATATCCTCATAATAACAAACAAAAAATTAACTTGGTAATAATACAAAACAAATGATTTTTGGTATGAAAATCAAATATGAATGAGATGGATTTTGGCTGTGCTTAAATAGTACTGGCCACTTAAAACCACATACAATTAACACGAGTTAACGTCAAGCGTCAAGTACTATCAGTGTCACAAGTGAGTAGTACACGCAGCAATATCCATCAGGCATTCATGTACCGTGCCTCGCCCACGGTACACTCGCGAACTAATGCGATAATTGAAATTGTGCAATTGCGTGCGAAACGCCCAACACCGAATTCATTACAGTCGTGTTTTTTGCAATTTGTTTTTTTTCCTTTTCCACTTTTTGCATTGTCGCTGCCAGCGAAATGATACGTATTCTGATGCTTTAATTATTTTATGCATGCGTCATCGTTGTCTTTTTACTTAGCAAATGGACGTTTTATCATAAAAGCTATTTTATGAGTGGCACACTTTTTGCAGACGTTTAGTGTAATTTTTAGTAGAGTAGTCTTCAATGATGGATTAGCTTGTTTGTTTTCAGATTATTTATAATACAAGGAAATGAATAGGAATTCCACAATTACCTTACGTGATTTACCAAAGCATTCACAAATTGATTTAACATGACCATAATCGATTCATCGATAAAAATAACGATATCACATCACTACAGAATCGGAAACAAAGCTCGCAGCAGCGCTCTAAACCGTTCCTGTATCGATAACACGACGAATAATTGACGTAACGGTAAAAGCAGGCAACAATCCAGAACCCTACGAATCAGCAGCAATTTGTTAAGTGGATTTTTGGCCGAGACACGCTCGCGGCTCGTTGCGCTTCTGTACACAATTTCATTATCTCTGCCCGCGTGCCCGGCCGACTCTACTATTAACTTATGCGATACTGTTGTAAGCTACGGATATTTTTTCGATATACCTATATTTTATATTTTCCTTACACTTTAAAAAAAAGAGTTTATGAAAATGTGCATTCAAATCGAATTCATGCCGCATGGTCTTAATTTGAACTCGAAAAAATTACAATTTAATTTTACTATACTCAAAAAACAATACAGGCATTTTAATAAAAGCAACAGATAACAGTAATTTACCTTTCAAAGAAATCAATATCTATCTATATATAAAAAATGAATTAAAAAACAATCAACTACACTTAAAATAATTTTGAAGGCACCCCTATATTGGCTATAAGTACAATCGTTTACTAGCCAGGTACTTTAGAAGATGGACTTGACCAAATCAATTCATGCCCACGCATACCGCCCCTACGCAATCACTTAAGAATTTTATGAACCGTAATGATTAAGATGTTTTGTCGTGCTTGAGTTTAAAACCGTGTAAGAGGGGTTTAATCGTCAAATCGGTTTGTTGTGTAGAACATATTATTGTGACTGGAATAACTATTAAAGGATTAGGAGACATTTTAAAGCATTTGGGTAGTGAATTGAGCGTGTGCTGCTTTTGAAAGGAGCGTGAGAGTATTGGGCGATGAGCTGAGAGTTTATAGTTCACGTGTGGGGTTGTTCTGACTAGATTATTTATTTGTCTAATGTTTGTAAAACATTTCAGTCTCTATTCTTTGCTTTCTAATACATTCAGTAATAAGCTGCTATGAATTACTTTTAATCTTTTTCTGCAAAAACGTTTTCCATCAACCCAATAATACAATGTCTTGTTATTTTGCTAAGATATCAAATCGATTGTGTAATTTGATTTAGATTAATTGAAAATCGATACCCAACCTCCTTTTTTAAATGACAAATACAGTAAAGGGGCAAAAAGTCCGATTCTCGACATATGGCCAACATCTATATTACAATGGGATCTTTACACCCTATTTCGGGTGCGACAAAATCGATTCCCAATTCGATATGACCCTCTTGTGCTGCCGGCTTGATGGAGACATATTTTGGCTATGAATGTACTTGTAGCTAGATCAAAAATATGGTAGTGGAATAATTTAATGAGTTGAAACAGGGGCTGTTATTCTATTTTCAAAAGTTGTGAATAAGATTTTCCATTGCTTTTTATAAAGCATAATAAAGTAACAGCTAATTTGTAATTGTTTTTTGTGCAATTGCAAATTTTATAATGTTTGTTTAATCTAACTTCTTCTTCTATATATATTGTTACGTGCCTGACGTCACGTTCCTGACTATGCGGGCTTGGGTTACGGGATTGGATGAAATGAAACACTAATACCGGTTTTCAGACTTTCTATTGCGCTTAAGTTACAGCGTCCACGGAGTTAAGTTATCGGCGTTCTTCTCCAGCAGAGTCCGGCCGACTGACACAACTTTGCCGTTCACGCTAACTTCACTTAACTGACTGCACTTCACTATTTCACTGCACTTCACTATTTCACTCACTTTTCTTCTTTTTCACTTCTTCCTTTTCTTCCGAATCGCTTTAGACTTAGAACTCAACTGCCAGCGGTGAGCCGCAGTTCTGCTTATATACCCCCGGTCAGGTTCTGGAACATTCAATTTCGTTATTCTTTTTGATCGTCATGCCTCCAGAACCTTCCAATAATTTCGCTATTCATTTTTATTTATTCTCCTTCTCACTCTTTAATTTTTCATCTCTTTCACACAAATAATTCCAGAAAGTTCGACAAAACTTCCATCAACTAAAAAACTTCATGTTTACGGCGGGACTCGAACTCGGGGTCTCTGTGGTGTAATCCACACGCCTTACCAATTACACCAACTCGTATTGACAATTCACGACGAAATTTACAATCTCTAGGCAACGTTTGACAACCATCCATTGACGTCATGATGTCAAAGAGTTTTCTGTCACACTGCCCCCCTCTTAGATTCGCTCGTCCCGAGCATCGTTGCTGCCGTAATACCTCGCCAACCTGTCTATATGGACAACTTTCAAAGGGCTCCTTGAAGACTTCCGAATTCTGTAAGTAATGTCATTGATCTTCGTGACTATCTCGTAAGGACCTTCCCAACTCGGTTGCAGCTTTGGAGATTTTCCCTTCCTTCTGACTGGATTATGAAGCCAGACCAATGACCCCTCTTCAAACCCAACAGAATTGGCTCGTCGATCATAGCGCGTCTTTGCGCGATCACTAGCTTGAAGACCGGCCTCCCTGATCTGCTCATAAATGTCCAACATTTTTGCCCTTAACTCGCTTATGTAATCGCTAAACTCGGTGCGAGAGTCACCAGGTGGACAGCCCGACACAAGATCTGCCGGTAATCTCAATTCCCTTCCAAAATTTGCAAATGCAGGCGTCTTTGCGGTACTTTCATGTACAGCAGTCCGATAGGCAAGCAAGAAGAGAGGTATGTAAGTGTCCCAATCTCTCTGATGGCTGTCAACCACCTTTGCTAAGTGTCGCTCCAATGTTTGGTTGAAGCGT